GCTAAGACTGGAAAGTAGCACAATTTATGATCCTGACGTACTACTCCAGTTTGAAATTTCAAGCAGGAATAATGAAACTGTGGACTACTACTCCCACAGGTAGTCAATTTTTCCTAATGTTTTCTCAATTTGTCTTCTTATGTTTCCTTTCTGTCACTTTATTCTCTTTCCAATATCCCATGTGACTATAATTCACTCTTATTAATCATTATAACTTGCTTTATTTCTTCCTGTATTATTAATCTCTTTGATTAAGGAGGTACACCATTGGAACTGATGATCAAGTTACAGCTGCTCGAATGACCTTGCTGTGCCATGATCAATACAATTTCTGGTAAGTTATAGTGCAAAAATATGACATTTTTGAGAAAAATCTAATTCATGCCTTTTTAAATCAGATGCCCCATTCCCACAATTCTGGGTCATTATCTGCAAACAAAATCCATACATTTACCAAAACTGTAGGAAATTCATTTTTCAGACGGTATCCTAAAATAGACTGTGCTCTTGTGCATTTATCTGACATTCAGTCTCCAGCCAATCATTGACCAGCTTGGAGCCATAGTGTTCTCACCAGAAGTTCGATACCATTACAATCAAATCCATCCTTTCATTCAGGTCCTTATTGTCACTGAGTTCAATAGTGTGAAATCACAGCTGATCTTTAGCGGAGCTTACAACTGCAAATTCAGTGCATTACAGGTCATCCCAAATGTCAGGCCTTGCAATAAACCCTCACAAGAGTCTTGCTGAGACACAATCCTAATCCATTTTCCTATCTTGGTGTGCTACCTTCCTGAACATTTGATTTCAATATCGTTATTGATGTTTACAAATCCCTCTCTAATGTTGTGCAATTTGCACTGGTTCTGCATTTTCAGCCCACAGCAGTCACTCTACTGAATTTTACATCATCACTGGTATTGCTGAAAAATGACACAGGTTGTTTAAATGTTTTGTCTTTAAATAGAGGCTGGCAGTTATCATCAATATTTGGTGTAACCTCCATGGCAATATCTTTACCAATCAAAGTTCACTTGCCAGCCAATTAGCATTCTCCTCTCATACAGTAATACTCTTCTCCCCCCCCCCACTTTACATTGGTATTCTTGCAAAAGGCTTTAACAAAACTGTCTTTTATTTGTGATACTCAAGTTTTGACCACCAAACAACTAATATATACCATCACCAAAACTAAAACATTGAGCAACCACAGTGCTATATTCTGGAATTCTCTTAATCAGCTCGCATTTTGCTCTCCTCTCCTTACATTTCCAAAAGTCTTCTTCTTTAATCATGGCTTCATTCTGATCCCCTAACCTCTCAATTCTTGCTCAGTGTCCATTTTTGCTTTCCATTCCATCATCTTTCCAGCTTATGTATTTTCCACAGTAATGTAGATAGTTGTAATACCAAGCATAGAGATGTCGAGAGTAACATCTGCTTGGATTTCCTGCAGATGGCTGTGTATTGAGTGATACCAGTATTTTAATCTGCTTGTGCAATCAATTTAGATTCTTAGCAAGGCCACTTTCGCAAAGTACCTTTCAGAAAGACAAGGTTTCACTCAGATGAACAACATTGATTCTGTATTGTACTGATCAGATGAAAATAAGTGCTATAAATTATTTAAGTGAAACCGCTTGTCTTGATAATGTGAAGGAAATTGAGTTAGGTGACTTTTTTTTACAGATGGCATGCTATACATATATGAAAATGTACATTTAGTATTATTACAGAGGGGAATGGCTGAAACCCTCTGACAGTTAAACCAAAACACAAGCCTCAACCTGTTTTGATGGGAGTAGGGCTTCCCTTCTAATAATTACCCCCGAAAAACCCAGAGAATTGAATCATCAAATCCCTACAGTGTGGAAACAGGCCATTTGGCCCAACAAGTCCATGCTGCCCCTCTGAAGAGCATCCCACTCAAACCCATTTCCCATGTCTAACCCAAACATCCCTGGACACTATGGACAATTTAACATGGCCAATCCACCTGGCCTGCGCACCTTTGGAGTGTGGGAGAAAACTGGAGTGGCTGGAGGAAACCCACGTAGATTTGGGGTGAATGTGCAAACTCCACACAGACAGTTGCTCAAAGCTGGAATGAACCTGGGTCCCTGGCACTGTGAGGTAGCAGTGCTAACCACTGAGGCACTGTGCCACCCCACCCCAAACTTGACTTTCCCCTTGAAATCTGTTAAAAGAGTGGTTAAAAGAAAGAAAATCCCTGATCTCCACTTTACAAGTAACAAGAAACAATTTATTTATTTAACCCTAACAATTAACAAATCAACAGGATTACTAACAAACCGACAATTCCCCCCTAGACCACTAACTACTCCCTCACTGGCCTAAATTCTACAGGAATACTGTTCAAATAAACACAGGTCCCACTCGTATAAACCCAATTAATAAGAAAACAATAAATTAAAACGTTATCTCTCCAAATTCACACCGAATGTGTCTTCCGGAAAGTTCCATCTTCTTCGTTGATCATCTGTCAGGAATGTCTTCTCTTTCTGCTGTTCTCTCTGTAATTTCTTCTATGAGGACTTTGAACTAAAAATGCCATGGTACCTTTGATGGGATTTTTTAGAGAGCTTAATAATTATTTGTGAAAGTCAGAGTTACATCTCAGGTGGCAGACTTGCTTTCACTGCAAATCGCAGTTGGCTCTCCCCGATTTTGCCAAATGCCCTTATCTTCATACCCATAATGACATAATCGTATTTCTTACATAGGATTGGTTAGATGTTGTCAACACCATCAGATTTTAGTATCTAAGGCCTTGGTTGAAATTATTTGGCTGAAGGCCGAAGGGCCTGTACTGCGCTGTAATGTTCTATGTTCTATGTTGTCTTGGTAAAAAGCAGCCTGGCTGTTCGATACAAAATGTTTCAATTCAGGCACTCTCTGTGCACAGTACTTGTAAACTTCCAAACATAGTCAAAGCACAAGCTCTCAAAGGGACCACGGCACTGTTTTTCCCCATGATTATTTTTACCAACAAATTCTAACTTTCTGCCTTCCAATTCATGAATACTCTACCCAACTTCATAACACTATTAAGATATTTTAAAAGATCAATCATATTGTAAAGCATTCCTGGACACAAAAGATAGGAAATTAATGGGACTGGAACTATTTGTATTCTTATAATTAAATTAAAACTTATTTCTCCAACCACCCTTTCTGCTATCCCAACCGTCGTGTCTATCCCAAAGAGCCTTTGCTTTGTGATGGCACAATGGCACCCTCTTCTGCACAGTTATAGTATAACATTAAAATGATGCCACAGCTCTTCATGATTCTTCATCATTTATATATAAATCTCATTTATGAATCTGGCTTGACAATCAAAAAGCTTGACAAATTGGTTTTGTTACTTGTTCTGCCCTTTCCTGCTTCACACTTGTTAAACTTACTTCCTTTAACACTTCACGAATGTAATTTTTAATTTGTTCCTTTTTTAAATTAAGTTTCTTCATAGAATATTGCAAATACATTATTACACATGTTGCGCAGGGTGTTGTAGAGCGAGTTAAAGATAGGCTCTACTCTTTATTCAAATTTAAGAAATGTTCCAAAGCATTTCACTTTCAATGAACTATTTTGAAGTGCAGTAACTTTAATTTGATTTGATTTATTATTGTCCCATGTACCTCGGTACAGTGAAGAGTTTTGTTTTGTTGTGCATGTGGTAAAAGCAGATCACACTATACAAAGTGGATCAGGGTAGTAGAACACAGTGAAGAATACAATGTTATGGCTGCAAAGAAGGTGTACCAAGAAGGAGATCTACATTAAATTTAAAATTTGAGAGGTCCATTCAGAAGTCTGATAACAGTGGGGAAGAAGATAACCAGGGTGGGCAGGATCTTTGACTATGGTTAAAATCGAAAGAAATGTAGATGCTGTAAATCAGGAACAAAACTAAAGTTGCTGGAAAAGCTCAGCAGGTCTGGCAGCATCTGTGAAGAAAAAATCAGAGTTAACATTTCGGGTCCGGTGACCCTTCCTCAGAACTATGTTCATAAAATAGTAGGTTTCCTTTGGCATTACTCATTGTGTCAGAGAATTATAGCAGGCAAGTAAAGCTAAAATAACACATAGTGACTGAAGGCAGTAAGTTGAGGTTTCTGTTTAAAGAGGGAATTTTATAATGACTGGTTTCATAGACATTTCCAATGTTAAATGTTATGATTCTTGACAGTACAATCTGTTATCAACAAATTATTGAGATATGTCTAACAGGAACCACTGAAACAGGCAGACAGAATCCTGATTTGATGTCTCATTCGGAAGATGACATCTCAAACAACCTGACATTCCTTCACAGAAGTGTTGCCTAGATTACACGGTCAAGTCAAAAGCTTGAGTATGTTTGAGGATGTGAAAGGGTGCAGAGGATTGAAGTAGCTCATCTAAAATCCTGACATCTGAGGGATCGAGCTGCTCTACCGATCATAACAACAGAATTCCATGAACATTGTCTTCTTTATTCCCTGCTTAGCATACACCCAAGTTATCAGAGATGGTCCCTAACCACTAGGAAAGATCAAGTTTGGTAACGCAGGGAGGTATGGGGTTGGCCATTAGTTACAAGAGAGAATGAATGACATTAATGTTCAGACAGAAGGTTGCAGAGCTGAAACGTTAATCCTGGGAAACATGGCCATTACTTGTTAAAATTAAGTCAGGCTCCCAAATACAAAGCTGAAGCCTCACCTTTCTTGCAAGCTATGGGAAGAGTCATTTGTGATGGATTGGGTTGTGTTCCCTGGTCTTTAATATCTAATCTCCTTGACTTTCTCCTGTTCATTGTTAATATTGAGGCGTTAGAAAGAGATTTGAATCATACCTTTCCTGACAGTGCTGTGCTAACTCTGAAATATACTCAACAATGGATCTGAAGCACATCAGGGTTTGACATCTGAATCTATTGATGAAATGTTATGGAACAACTTTATGTGAATACACTTAGATTAATTTACCTTTATGTCTTGGCGATGACCGATTGTTTTTTGAATGATCCAGCAGCATGCGATTAGCATAGATGTTTCTAACTCCTAGCTGCCTTTCTTTTTCCTAAGAAAACATGAGAATTATTATGAGAAATGTGCACACTATAAACACCCGTATGAAATGTCATCTAAATACACACATTATATTGTATTATACTGTATTGCATTTTAAAAAAAATACAAAGATCATTTATCTGAACAGCAGCATGTTTGTGTCTGTGATTTTCTGCAAAGTTCTTTGTATTAACTGGCCTGCCATGGCAGAAAGACAGTATAAATGATGCAGGGTTGGCTTGCTCACAAGGGAGCTGAGGATTTTGACACTAAACCAACCCCAGTTGTTTTAGTTTATCTTAAGTATTGCTGCGACTCCACACAGTGTCAAGACTGAAGAACAGGTTGCTGACCTAGTATAAGGAGAGTCTGAAGATGGTGGGAAAGGAATAATAAGAGTTTAAAAAGAAACAAACTATTGTTTGAGTGGAGAGTGCAGTGGAAAAATGTGAACATTTATTATTGCAGTTTGGTTCAAAACCTAAAGTAAAATCTCCCTTGATAGACTTTAGCACCCAGATGCTAAGCTTCACCAGTCTCAAAAGTATTTTGTACTGGGTCTACAAAAAAATGAAATTGTCACCCATATGAAACATATATCTATCATTTCTGACATACATACAACATTAGGATCTAGCAACCCCATTCACATCATCTAGTCAGAACAGCCGCTGAGTGTTGGTGATTAGATCACACACTGGTACTTCAGTATGCCATGTCTGAGACAATGTGGCTGTAAGCCAGACTATAGAGATTTGAGTCTGTTCACTCCTACACATGCTAATTTAGCAAGTGGTTACATGAAAGGCTCTAATGACAATGAAAATATTAATGTTTATCAGAGAAATAGTAGGGTTAATCAGGAGAAAAATCCATCATAAGAACTGTCTGCTGTAGTTTGCTGCAGTGTACGTAACTGCATGAAGAGTTTTTTTTAAAGAAAACAAATAGACATTTATTAGTTTCTTAGTTAAATGGAGACATAGATAAGAATTTGAAGATGAGAACTGAGAAGTTTTGCTGTATGGAAATGGTCATCCGAATTATTCTCTATGTCTACATGCAATGACACATAGAACAAGAAAATACCAGGTTCTTCCCTTGAGTTGGTGGATCTTAGTCAGGGCCATTTCAGGCATACAATACTGGAATCAGAATCCCACATCATAAAGGGAGGAAAATGGGCAGAGTTTTTGCTGCTGATTATTGGACAGTATCCCTTACCGAAACTTGCAGGCATGCGGACATTGAGTGGTAGGATTGGATTATTATTCCATGTGCTGACCACGGCTTACAAAGGAGGCTGCATTTTCTGGGCCCCCACATTTCCTGCAGACAAGCTCCCCCTGGCAAACTGCTCCACAGATGATTTTACACATATGAACAACTTGAAAATTCTGTTTTTCCCATGCTTAATGGCAGACAAAGCACATGCTTGTGCCTGTTTCTAGCTGGATTTTGCTGGAACATGTCACTAACTTGGAACCAAGGGCTATAATATGAGGGATCCACTCCACATCAAGCATAGCTCATCTCTCCAACTCTTACTGTCATTAGAAGGACTTACAAATTGATAATCAGCCTGACTGGCCATATTATACACACACCTTCCATAGCCATCAAATCCTGGAGTGGTTTTGACCCTGGAGCTTCCAGCTCAGAGGCAGGACACTACCCACTGTGCCATACAACGTCTAAATGAAGATTCTGTACCAGGACTACTGGTAGTTAAACCAATGTCAGATGGGTTCAAAACCATTCCATGACAGGTTGGGATAAATACACTGCTGTGATCCAAATTCAGTTTGTTTATTAGATCAGCACTTTAAACAGATAAACCACTGTGTCTATGTGTGCCTACTGTCATTATATGCCCAGATGCCAATTACAAGAGATGAGCAGGGACTTCTTCCCCTCAGGAACAAGAATTTCCACCTCAGAGAGCATGATGCTAATGTGAGGCTGGCAGCTCTCTAGTACCAGCAGCGCCACCAGGAGCAGTGGCCACTGCAGGTACCTCATCTCGACTTCAATGCAGGTGAATCAGGGATCTCCTTGATATTAAGTTGGCAAACCTTTTTTGCTGGGATGGGGTGGTACATGTGTAGTTGGTTAAATCCTGGAGACCACTGCATGAGATTTTAAGTGGGGACTAATAGCCCATTTAATTGGTCAGTTGGAAAATTAGTAGATAGGTTGGCTGACACCACTCCCACTGCTAGTAAAATTATGGCTGCAAACCCACCAGGGAGGGATGTAAAATCATGCTGTATATCTGCTGATGCCCATTGGTGTTTCCCTCAGCTTAGGAAGAGAATACAAGTTGAAAATTATTTTTGTAAACCTGTAGTCATGTATTACATGCGTCAAGAGGAGAAAGTAGAATTACCTGTTTAATTTATAGGCTGTGGTTTTGAAATCACACTCTTGCCTGTTAGCAATAATACATATTAAAAACTCTGCATGCATTCTCGTCATGAATTTCTCTCATTAATTTTAATGGATGGAAGTTTCCTGATGTGTGTACCAAATGGGTGAGGCTTGCTGTCATTTGTACACTTCTTAAAATAGGAGCAATGTATGCACTTAAGGACAATTTATAATTCTTGGCTCAGACTCACTGCCTGTGTGAAGGGAGATTAGGTAATTTGGGGCAAGCCAGTACAAGCTTCTCCTTCCAGTGTTAACTTGTAAAACTTTCATGCCTTGGCCAGCTGCTTTACTGAAGACATAGACAGAAGACATCTGGAAGCAAATTGCTCAGAAGGGATTGATACACGGTGTGAAGAGTCCCAACAGTGACAGCACAAAGACTCACATCATTACAGCCTGGCAGTTCAGTCTGTGAATCCTGGTTAATTTTTGTTCACAGCACATCATTGCATAGAATTGATCCAGAGTTAGGTTCACTCTACCTTTATAACTGTGCCAGGGATATGGTGGTAATCCAGTTTACCCACATAAGTGGGGATCTGGTGCAGTTACAATAGAGAGTGAGAATAAGTAGAAATTCCAGGGTTTTTTCCCCCATGAGGAAGTCACAATGATGACAGTCATGCCAATGATTTTCTTATGGAAGATCCCGGGCCTTGTTTCTGCCAGAGTGAGGAGAGTAAACTGTGGATACTTCCTGAGACAGAACGTGAGATCAAACATCCCAGGGATCATCTCTGGCAAATTCTTAATTAGAGGATAATACTTGGTGAAGAAGGACCTTAGCAACTCAGTGATAGAGTCTGCAGAAATAGACCCAATTTTAGATTTGCCCCCAGTGTTTGAGAGGTCCCTCGGGGCCTCAGTAAGTCTACCCTGTGAATTTCCAGGCATTAGAAATCAGGAAGACTCCAATTTCTCCATGCTGTGTGCTAAGTTAGCAGTTCTTACATTTACAACAACAGTAGAGGTGGTGTTATTGCTATTATGTTCCAGATTAGGAATGGTAAACTGGTCAAAGTCCCTGTTCCAGTTTGCTAATTAGGAACTTCTGCTTGGTGTACATCTGTGTGAACATTGAAGGTGAAAAAAGACTCAAATGTGACAGTGTCATGATGAACAGCCTGCAAACAATTTAGAACATCTGAATGAGTTATAAGAAAGGTACTAGCACAGGTAGTACAATAAGCCAGCAAGGATTGCTAATTGTATCTACACTGATATTGGCAAATTAGAACAAAGAACAAAAGAGAAGTGTGGCACAGGAACAGGCCCTTCGGCCCTCCAAGCCTGTGCTGATCATCATGCCCTAACTAAACTAAAAAACAAACCTTCTGCCCTTATTCAATCTGTATACCTCTACTCCCTTCCTATTCATGTAACAATCCAGGTGCCTCTTAAATGTCGCCAACGTGCCTGCTTCCACCACCTCCTTTGGCAGTGCATTCCAGGCTCCTTCCACTCTCTGCATGAAAAACTTTCCACGCACATCTCCCTTAAACTTTTGCCCTCTCACTTTGAACCTGTGCCCCCTTGTAATTGAAATTTCAATCCTGGGAAAAAACCTCTATTTATCCACCCTATCTATGCCTCTCATTATTTTGTAGACCTCTATCAGGTCTCCTCTCAGCTGCCGTCTTTCCAGTGAAAACAATTCTCATCTTTTTAACCTTTCCTCATAGCCAATACCTTTGAGACCGGGCAGCATCCTGGTGAAACCTGTTATTCCTCTTATGACTGTGTTATTCATTATTGGATTTTCAATTTGCATGTGCCTTATTCTTCAGGGAAATAGGTATAAATTTTAAAACAAATCAGGCATCACATCAATATCTGCTTTTGTGATTGTGTTTGCTCCTGCATCTCATAAATGCACCCAAGCTCATTGGGGAAGAAAAATCTGGGCATCTAATAAATCCAATTCAGATCTATGGATGAAGTTGTAAATAAGTTGACTATTGTCAATAAGCCTGATGGTATCAAGCATTACCTACAGTGTTTTGTGGTCTGATTTCTTGTTTTTCATTCCTCTTTAAAAGCACATTATGTAGAGGTTAACATACAAGCAAGGACAAAGCATTGTTTAGCTAAAAGGAAGCAGATAGTAAGGGCAAATAGTTCTTTTTCAGGCTGATTAACCAGTGGAGTGATACAGGGATCTGTGCTGGGGTCTCATCTATTTTATAGTATATATCAATGACTTAGATGAAGGGATTGAGTATATGGTAGCTAAATTTGCCAGTTAGTTTCCTACTTACCCTATGGCAAGTTGGCTAAGTTGTGAAGAGGAGGTCGAGAGTCTGCAAAGGGATATAGACAGGGTAGGTGAGTGGACAATAATTTAGCAGATGGAGTATGATGTGGGAAAATGTGAACGTGTTCAAATCTGGCGGGAAGAATAGAAACCGGTTTATTATTTAAATGGAGAGAGATGGTAACATAATGGTAATGTCACTGGAGGAGCAATCCAAAGGCCCAGGGCTAATCCTCTGGGACAAAAGTCAGCAGCTAGCAGAATTTGAATTTAATTCATGAATCTGAAACAGAGTCTCAATAGAGCTAATCACGTTAACTGCC